AAAGAAAGAAAGAAAGAAAGAAAGAAAGAAAGAAAGAAAGAAAGAAACCCAACAACCCGGCAGGGGAACTGCCACTGCAAGGCTACGGGTTTTTTAAGGACAACCCTATGTAAATAAACGCTTGTTTCCTGCTCTCCAATCAAGAGGAAAAGCATCTAATTTCACTTCCACATCTCCCCGGAGCAAATGCCCCGCGATGGAAGCCAGAGGGAAAAGGGACCATTCGTTTTCTGCCCATTCCCCTCCCGAGGGGGCGCCCCGATAATGCCCCCGTCGTTCCCAAGACAGGGGAAGCCACGGGAAACACCACCTCCGCCCCCGCGCCCCCCCCAAAAGTCTCGCCGCACCTGAAACCTTTCCCTGAAAACTTCCCGTGCCCTCGGTTCTCCCCTCCGTAGGATGGCACCCCAATCCCACCCACCCGCTAAGCCCCATAAACAATGTGCCCATTACAAACCAGCGCTCGCTCGCTCGCTCGCTCGCTTCCTCCGCCCACCTGTCCAGGGAGAGAAGACCGAAGCGGAATGCAATGCAGCCGGCGCGCGGGAACGACCTCGGCACAAGTCCCCCCCACTCCGCTCCGCTCCCCAACCTGCCAGGGAACCTCGTTCCCAAAGAGGAATCCCCTTGGTCGTGCGCGGGCATCAAAGGGGAATCTCCTCCACCGCCTCGCCTCCAACGCCGCCGCCCCGACCCTTTCCTGCCAGCCCGACTGCAGGTAGCAGCAGCCCTCGGCGCCACCTCCCAGTCCTCACCGTGCTTAGAAGAAAGAGGAGGGGGTCTCGCCCGTGGCCTCCACTCGCAGCGGCTCGCCGGCGGTAGCCAAAGCAAACGACGGCCGGCACCAGCAACCCCTATACCTGACCTACTTTCCGCCTGGCTTGCCGCTGAACGTCGCACCACTAACCTACTTTCCAGCCAATGGCTTCTCCCCCCGCATCAAGCCCCTGCCCGCCTCTTGCCCAATCGCGGGACGGGGTTTGCGCCTGCCGCCCAATACGCCTCCGAAAGAGGATGCTTAGGTCCCGCCTTCGACCCGGACGACCAATCCGAACCGTGCGGCTGAAGAGTAAACGAGTCAGAACGAGGATAACACTCTGCTCGTGCCCGCCCGCTCGCTTAAACGATTGTAACTTGCGAGAGAAGGGAGGGTGGGGGCAGCGAGCGAGCGGACGGTCGCGCGGGTGTGCATGCGCACTCGCTCGCTCGCGCGCTCCCTCCCTCCCGCCCTAAGAGGAATTGTGTGGCTGCTTGGAATGGCTAAGACCCGGATGTAAACCTCCTGTTAAGCCGAACGGGATCCCCGTTCGCCGAGTATTGTTGGGTTACGTACGTCTGCATGTATTTGCTCCTTGCGGAGTGCGGTCCGATAACCCGCTGCTTCCCTTTCCACCCAACCTTCGTTTCCCCTCGCTTTTTATGCATTGCCTCGTAGGGCAACTACTTTCTGTCCCCAAATAACGTTTACCTGTTTCAGATCCTAACACCTCCGTTGTTAAATGCGGGTAGCAGCGCCCAATTGCTCGTCTGATCTCGGAAAGCAAGCAGTGTCGGATCTGGCTAGTAACTGGATGGGAAACCACCAGGAAATCCTAGGCTAGACTGGGTAGTGAAACTTGTTCCAGAAGAACGCAAGAAAGAAAGGAAACAATTGGCATTGCTACCAACAGTTGCACATTTTAGACTCCGGGAATAGACTGTGTAACTCGAAAGAGATTAGGGTTTTTTCCCCAAAAGCTTTGGGGAAGATAATGATAGGAAAAAATCAGTGGAATTTAGAGCTGCTCTGAATACCAGGAGACCAGCAAATGGTTACTGACTCATCTGTTTTTTAACTACAAAACCAACAGAAAGTTATCCTCCCAAATCATATTTCTGAAACAAAAACATCTTGAATATTAAGCATTCTTTAATATATTTTGCATCAACCGCTGGTTAGTTGATCTCAGTGCCCTAGTTAAAAAAAAAAGGCCTCTGGACCAAAAGTCTTCCTATCTCTGAATTAAGGAATCCTTGAGAAACCCAAGTTTTACAGTCATTTATGTGAAGCTGCCTCCTGCTCATTCATTTGGTTTTCTTCACAAGTACTGGTGACACTCAAAAAATTAGAATATTGTGCAAAAGTTCATTTATTTCAGTAATGCAACTTAAAAGGTGAACAGTCTGTGTGTGGTGGCTCTTGATGCACTGACCCCAGCCTCAGTCCACTCCTTGTGAAAGTCCCCAACATTTTTGATGGCCTTTTCCTGACAATCCTCTCCAGGCTGCGATCATGTCTGCTGCTTGTGCACCTTTTTCTTCCACACTTTTCCCTTCCACATAACTTTCTATTATTATTTGGGAACATCCAACTTCTTTTGCAATTCCCTTTTGAGGCTTTCCCTCCTTATGGAGGGTGTCAGTGATCGTTTTCTGCACAACTGTCAGGTCAGCAGTCTTTCCCATGATTGTGATTCCTACTGAATCAGACTGAGAGACCATTTAAAGGCTCAGGAACCCTTTGCAGGTGTTATGGCTTAATTAGCTGATTAGAGTGGGACACTTTGAGCCTAGAATATTGAACCTTTTCACAATATTCTAATTTTCTGAGATTGTGGATTTGGGGTTTTCATGAGCTGTAATCCATAATCATCTCAATTATGACACATCACACCTTGAACTATCTTGCTTTGCATGTAATGAGTCTATCTCATACATTAGGTTCACCTTTTAAGTTGCATTATTGAAATAAATGAACTTTTGCATGATATTCAAATTTTTCGAGTTTCACCTGTATGTGCTCTGTACCCGATTTCTGTACTGATTAATCCTACCTAGGCCTACAATAAGAAACATATACAGAGGGAAAAAGTTACTTAGGAAGGCTGACACTTAAAGTGGCTTCCTTCATTGCTGATCTCCAGTGCAGAGAAGTTTCCATCTGCCATCAGCTGACTGCCATTCAACTGTTCCTAGCAAAGAATAAGCCTCACCAGTCTCAAAAAAAAGTGGGGGTGGGGGTGGGATAGTGCCTAGCCCAGCTTTGTAATAACACAGGCAAAAGAATGCTTTAATTTGGAGGAAAAAGGGGAACTGTAAAAAGTCTTGCTTATTCCACTTTCGATAAAATTATGCTCAATTGCCTCATTCCTTGTATAGAATTATCCTCATTTTGCTGCTTAACTACAATTAACAAGTGAAACAGTCTCTTAAACTGAAGTGTTGCTGGTTGACTGTCATAATGAACTTGATAAATTATTTTTTCCCAACAATATAGCTCCCAATTCCTCTTCAATATTAATTTTTTTCTCATATGTGTTCAGATGACAGCCCCATAAATGTATAACCAGTCAACACCATGCTGCCTAGTTACTTGCATGCCAAAATACTCAGTAGACAACAGTGTATATTCAAATAAACTGATGTTTCCTGGTTGCCATACGTCAATGAGCAGAGTCACCTGGAATGAGAAAATGCATTTGATAATCTATTACTTTACAGGGAACATTAAAAGTACATGTCGAGTCATATGCATTGTCATATAATTATATGTCCCAGTTAAGATTTAATATAAGAGAGAGGCTAAAGGAATTAATCTTTCAGATAATAATCAGAAACAATCAGATAAAAGCTGAATCCGAAATAATCTGTGACCTCCAAGTTATGTTCATGCCTAGAAAACAACATTACACATACATTTATTAAATTTCAACATCAAAGATTAAAATACAAGCCAACATAAAAGGGAACAAAATCAATGGAAAGTGACCAAAAAAACTATATCAAACAAATTGTAAGTTGATCTCTGGCTTTCTTTTAGTACAGAAATAAAAATAAGACCATCTCTTTAAGTTTAAACAACATAAAATATCTTACAATACTAATAATTAATCTTACTAAAAATGAATACTCATGCAATATTCTGTAAATTTTATTTTACACAAAATTTTAAAGTCCCCTTTGATTACTCCACTGAATTTCAAAAGAAAGTTGTCCATGGTCTTTCTCATAATTTTGAAACTTGAAGATTGTAGGGCAGGGGTGTCAAGCTCATGTCATCACGGCGTTGTCATGTGATATATCAGGATTCCCCACCCCTTTGCTAAACTGGGGGGGTCAGTACATGACACATCCAGCCCGCAGGCTGTGAGTTTGACACCCCTGTTGTAGGGGGGGAAAATTATTGTTGTTCCAGCAAAAGAGAGGAGCAAATAGAAAAAAGGCCAGTTTCACATATATGAAGTAATCTGCCCATTCCATATTACTGTCTTCCCATTGCAGAAATATGAATTAGAACCCCTAATTCAATGCTTCTTTGCTATCGTAGTTAATGAACTTTCTGCAAAATTATGTCATTTTGTCAAAGTAAAGGAATGTTTGGTAATCACTTAGCATTTTAAGGAAACAAGAAATAAAACAAGAAGTTGCTATTGTGAAGAATGTAACTGTAAACCAAATAAATCCCACTGCTGTTACTTTATAACTTTGACATAGATGAAAATGTGTTGTAATTTCTATTTTATTTATTTTTGGCCTAAAACTTCTCTATCTTAAAACACTCTCTGCTACTCTACACGTGTATTCTTCTTTATTATTTTAAGTGGATTCAGCAATGATTACTGTACTGGATGTCAAAAGAACTTTTCTAAAGCATAGCAAAATAACAGGAAATTGGAGGTATTGCATTTAGACAATTGGAACTTGCAATAAAATGCACAATGCAGTGTTACTGTTCAATGATGCAGTCAGCTGTGGCCTTTCTTTTTCCTCCCCACTGAGCATATTCAGCCCTAATTCAGATATTTTGGATTTGTTTGCTTCTCCCTTTAAAAGTTAACAGAAGGGGTTCTTCCCTCCAGTCCTTTAATTGTGACAATCTTCTCATTCAACCAGTCCACCCATCTTCTTTGGTGTGGATTGTGCCATTACAGCTAACTAATCTTATCTAGCAGCAAATTTGTACTTGGAGACCAATAAGAACATTTTAGCATACATGAATCTCTTTCCATGCTTTTCTTCTGTCCTCTTCATGACGTTTGACATCACAAGTTATGAGTCTAATAGTGTCCTCTGATTTTTAGGGTACTTTTAAGACAACAGCTTTCTTCTGCAATCACCTCTGATTTCATAGAATGATATGACAGAAGAGATGAGCCCTTTCTTATTAAAGCAAAAAAGAGGTTACATGATGCCTATGAATTGGTCATTCTAGAAGTTCTTCATCTTCAAGGGTTCCGTGGCAGCCTATCTCTGATTCTTCATCATAACAAAATGCTGTAAGATTTTCCCAAAGTCAATGTCACTGCTACAGTAGTAACTACATCCACCCCCTCACACTTCCAGAGTTGCAACTTGAGTTGCCATGGCAACATCAACCCCCACAAAATGCCTTAGAATAAGTACTGCAATGCCTAAAAATGACATCATGCTGTCCAACCGTGCCATCAAGTAGTGCAGGCACCAAAAGACATGGCTGACAAAACAACATATTGACTATAAAACAGTTGTGGATGATATATCAGCAAAAGAATGCATACATGAGTCTAATTCTTTTTCTTTTGAAATCATTATCTCTAATGGCTACCCTATCTTTTCCTGACATTGAAATTTCTACAACTTCAGTACTGCTCTCTCTACCAGCATTATCTGACAGAACTGATAGTCTACTTCGTTAGATATCCCTGTACGTTGCTGCAGCATTATTACTTGTATAAAACAGGGCTGTCAAACTCACAGCCTGCAAGCCAGATGCGTCACATGCTGGCCACGCCCACACCCATTTTAGCAAAGGGGGAAGAAGTCACGAAATATCACGTGATGATGCCATGACGATGCAAGTTTGATACCCTTGGTATAAAATGTTCTGATTCTGTATTTTGATGCATAATAATGTTGAACATCCTTAATTAAGGGCCTACCAGTGT